AAAAAAAAAAAAAAAAAGGATAGTACTGGGAACTGTATGTAATATAAAGCATGAATATATGTGTGTGGCAGAGTGGCAAAAAGCAGGATAGGGTGGCAACAAGAAAAACGCCCCCCCAAAAGCCCTAACTTGGCCCTGTATTTCCTTTACAAAAATGATACCAAAACATTAACTTGGATATATCTTTCAGAAGATAGTAGAAAACCCTTGCTCACCCCAACTGGTCTAGCACTGTTATAAATTCCCTCTTCCAAGGCACTTACCCAGCTGGGTATGCAACTAAACCTGATCGGGGATCACAGGCAAGTCCTCTGCCTCCAGACACTGTTATTCCCAACACCTTCTCCAAGGTCACCTGTTATAGAAAGACAGAGAAGTGACATGTTATAGATAGTGGGTTAGGGAATCAAGTGCTGAAGTTACCTGGGACCATCCTACAGCACTGACTACTTTCCAGATAACCTTGTCTTCAGGAGAATAGGGCTATGACTTCTACAGGTTCTATTCTGGCTACAGGTTGCTTGGTCAGATGAGAAAAAGATACTGTGTATCACCTACTTTTAGCAGGTCTCAGTCTGCTGGTACCATAGGAAAGAAAAGCAACTGGTTAAAGCATAGCTAAGGGCCACAGAACAACTAATTCCCCCAATCCAAGAAGGTAACACTTATAAGATAGGGCCTTGGGTCCTTAGACTGGGCTCTTGGGTCTCTGAGACCCTCTGAGAAGGTTGTTGATCTTCATGCGTTGTCAGGCATGAAGGAACGGCTACTCTGACCTACCAAGACCTAGAAGAATATTAGGTATCAATTAGGTGACTCATAATATCTTTGACCTTTGCATATATTATCACATTCTTCCCTTCCATCAAATTGTTCTACCTCCCAGATGTCTGCCAGTTCATACAGGCTACAAGACAAGGAGGCAGAAACATGGCTTAATACTACATTTTACAAAGCACAGATGCTCAGAGTACTCTAATTATTATTATTAAACGACAACTCCCACAGAGATGAAAGGAAACATAAAAAGGCCTCGAAGATTCTGAGAGCACATGGCCATAGAAGACATTCATCACTCTCATCATCAGTACTATTAGCTACCTCACACTGTCTGCAGCCCCAAGGACCCACATCGAACTAACCTAAAATTAGTTCACCAATCTTTGTGCTACATGAGGCCATGTAAGATTGAGACTTCCCTAAAACCTCTTGCTTGTCATTCCACCTCACCCTCTGCTACAGAACATCTTGCTTATTGCTCCAGGTCTGGTCACCTCCAATGCTGTATGCACTTTCTGCACTGTCCCTGCTCAGGGATACCCTTGGTCTCCCTTGGTTCAGAAAGCAGGGCTTCTGGCTCGGCGCCTGTGGCTCAAGCAGCTAAGGCGCCAGCCATATACACCTAAGGTGGCGGGTTTGAATCCCCAGCCCGGGCCCGCCAAACAACAATGATGGCT